ATGATCATAACCATTCATCAATAAAATAATAGAAAAGCATTATGTCAACCTTTATCTTCCCTCAACAAGAATATGGTCCCTCCCCATAAAATTAATTACAAGTAGGACTGATGTTGAAAAAGATGTTTTGAGGATATACATATGGCCCCCTTTTCTTTGCCTACCTGTGATTCCAATAGATATTTTTCTTCAGCAGTTGAAAGTAGTTTTTTTGTGTGAAGTAGTTTGTTTGCCTAACACCTTTAACGTAAAGTCAAGACTACTTACATGACTCTCATTTCTCAAACACAGAAACACACAAATAGTTAGGGAAAATGCATGCCTATGTACATAAGCAAATGGCAATATTTTGTGAAGTTAGTGAAAAATGGTATACCAAACTAGTCATTTTCATTTCCATAATGTCAAGACAATTTGCATATGAGTTTTACACGTAAACTTACCGTTTGTTTGTTTCACATTTAATTTTCATGCATTATGCTCTTAATGTGCATTTTCAACTTTCATTGCCTATAAAAAAAAAGGATCAAATTTTGAGAATGTTCGATTATTTTTGGTAATTTTCTTAAATACCCTTTATTTTGCCATTAGTGTGGTGATTTTAATTGTCTTAGACATGAAGGATTGTAGTTAAAGAAAAGGAATAAACCATTTAATAAATATGAGTATTCGAGGCTATAAATGATTAGTTTTCACAGAGATTAGGGACCAATAACATGCAATCCAATGATCTACACCCAATAAAAGAACTAGAGCCAATCATGCAACTTCTTGAAAAATTGAGCTTTTACATGCTGTTTTGGCTAATTTTTTTAACAACTCATCAAAGCGTACTAACATTATTGGCTCAAGATATACTCTGAAATTTTGCGTAAGATATTTATATTTAGGGCATGTCTATTTATTATAACCGGATAAGAGAATACTTACTTATGTATTTACTAATTAATAAATAAGAATTTTAATTTAGTGGGACTTACAAATGAGAAATGCGGAAAGTGAAAGACTAATCCTAAACTAGCTCTAGTTTTGTTTCCTTTTCTTAAAATTTAACCAAATATTGTATGCACAAGAATATTTTAGTGTTATTTCTAAAGTTAATAAACACTATATATAAAATAAAATAAAAAGAGCTAGATTGTTTTTCCACTTCCTAAGAGATAAACACTAGTTTTAATTTTATTTAGTTCCTTTATTAATTTATTTCAAAGAACCTTTCCCTTTCCTATTACATCATATTATAACTACAACTTAGTAAGCATGCTCTCGGAGTAATGCTTCACGCGCATGAATCAATATATATTGTTTTGCAAGTCTAAGTCAGCTACTGATTAATATGTGATATTTGACTTTGTCCATTTCGATTTCTTGGATACAAGATGTGCATTTCAAGTTTAAAATGTTTATTTTTTATACATTATATATAACATAGTAAATTAATTGTGATGTCACTTGGAAACCAATATAATATATATAAACAACCAGGTATATACATAATATTATATACAAAATCCTTATTCATATTAACATGTTGGTCATTGTATTCAGAAGAGAAAAAGATGATAAAAGAGCTTCTTTTTTTTTTTTTTTGGGGTCCAAAATACATAAATTCTGCGTGCAAGTTAAGCAAAATTGACTACTGGATTCCTTAAACCAAGAAAAAAGGAAGGAAAGAAATATCTAAATCTGAGTCGATAGGAAATAAATCTGGTTCGTTGACTTGGAAGACACCATTATTTATTTTATGACGCTGAGATTTTTATTTTTATTTATTTTTATTTTATTTTTGGTGTACACCTGTTGATTGTTCAATAGGTTTGGGGTTTGTGGGGACATGATCGATCACAAATAATGGCTTTTGATTCGTTGTTCGTTTGCTTTTCTTAAAATCAAAGCTTCACCAGTAGACACTAATTATTATCTCTTTTCGCCCTTTTAGTTAGGTGATCATGAAGACTAAATGGAACAGATACTGTGGAAAATCCAAGGATTACTTCATTGTTACTTAACTAACTATCATCCTAATTATACAGCAAAGGGAATTTTTATTGTAGGATCTGTCGTTCTCTCCGATCAGTAAACACTGTTGTTTTAATAGTTAATATTTTAATGATTCTGTTTTTTTTACTGATTTGAGTTTTGTTATAATAAAAAATTTTAAAAAATAATCACATCTAATTTTTTTATTACAGTAAAAAACTCTCACACAACATTACATCTCAACTCGAAGTAAAAATTTAAATTATGATTGAAAACACCATACCCAATTCTGTAAATTTTAACATGAAAATATCTCTTGATAGAAAAAACAAAAAAAAATTTCCACCGTAAAAATTCCAGCAATCATAGTACATGGTACTAAGAGGTGAAAGAAATAAACATCACAATATTAGAAAAGATCTCATGATAGAAGAACAATGGTTACATAGATCATGTTTCACTGAAACACAATCCAATGGGATGTCTTGAATCTGAAATGGTAGGCCCCATTTTTGTGGTAAATAAGTCAGGTGGGGATATAATTGAGCAAGCAAAGGCTGCTCTCACACGTCGTGTTCAGTTCACTCAGATCGAACACGTGTTTTACAATTTGTGTTCAGAAAGCAGAGATCCATTTTGTACGTCCAACATGGCAATCCTATCACCGTGTTTTTTTTCTTCTTCTTTTTAATAGGAAAAAAAAAAAAGAAAAAAAAAAAGAAGAAAGTTCTCTTTGGTGGTTTAAAGTGGGTTTTAGTTTCTGTTGCACTCTACAAAGACAATGTTAAAGACTTTCCTTAGCGCACATGTGACCCTTCATCCACTTCCTGATTAGTTCTACACTTCAAAATTATTGTTTTTTTTTTTTTATTAATAATGTGCATAGATATTATTATATGCTCGAGATTTTGTGGTTTGGAACTAAAGTTAACACAAAACAAAGAAACCGAAATAATAGTAATAATGAAAAAACAAAAACATAAAACGTATTTTTGGTATTGAATTTGAGAATATACGACAATATTGTGAAATTGAAGTATAAATTTTTATTTTAAAAGGTAGGTGTTTCAATATTCTTAAAAATTAGCGCTTCACTTCGTTGATTCGAGTTTAGAATTCGAGTTGAGATGTGATTTTATGTGAGAGCTTTTTACTGTAACAAAAAAATTAGATGTGATTGTTTGTGAGAGCTTTTTACTGTAGAAAAACTCGAATTCTAAACTCAAATCAGCGAAGTGAACGGGGCCACATATTTAGACAATGTGGGGTTCGAGTTTAATTTAATCATTACATGTTCTCATAAAATAGTGTTCACCGATGGTGCTCTCTTTTAAAGTCACTAAACTAATTTATTTAATGGATCGAGTCGTTCATGAACTTCAATCTTAAGAAGTCTACTTATTAAGTTAGATCTCTCAATATCCACATAAATTAATTTACTTTTCATGATTGTGTTTAAATGATGTGACACCCGACCCCGGGTTTAATATAACCCGGCTACGTGATTAGAATGAATAGTAACAACAAAATAGGGAAGTGCTCGAAAGAAAAGTGACGAGATGGCTACATGTGATTTGAATAATTTTTAGATTTACGTGTATTTTTTGTGAGAGAAAATACTGTAGCGAACCACGAATCATGATTCGAATCAGGGAACGAATCCCTCTACCAAACATCCTGATTAGAATGAATAGTAACAACAAAATAGGGAAGTGCTCGAAAGAAAGGTGACGAGATGGCTACGTGATTAGAATGAATAGTAACAACAAAATAGGGAAGTGCTCGAAAGAAAGAAAGGTGACGAGATTTTGGTAGACGTGTGTGTGTGTGTGTATATATATATATATATATATATATATATATATCTCCTTTGGCTCGTCTCCAAGGAGGGTATTATGGCTTTTATATGGCCATTCGTTGGTTGTAACGTCGTTAGACCAAACTTGGCTTTGAAAAGCGAAAGGAAATGCTTCGTGCCAAACAACAAAGTAGAGTCAATTTCTTGTATGTTTTCTTCCTCAAAATCTAATCCTAGCCTCTCATCACAACTCACGTTTCTCATAAATTAATCAATTCTCGATTATGACATCTACCACTTTGCTTGGTCTGGATCTAACTAAGGATTCAGATTTGACCCCAAAAGGAAAAAAGAGAGAAGAAAAAAAAGTGAACAAAAGTTTTTTTTTTTTTTGGTCACTTTTTCAAATGAGCCACTAAGATATTCCAAAGTTTTGTACCTAGCCGTAAAATTAAAGAGGAAGCTGTTATTGGGTAAATAATTTGTTAATAATTAAAAACTCATTGAAATAAAAATATTGAAACGACGAATCAAGATTCAAAATGAGCTTAAGGTATTAAATATTTAATCAATATCAGTAATGTTTTTTAACGTAAAGATTCAAAGAATAAAATATTATATATGAGAAAAGCTTGGCGAAGACAAGATTACAAAATCGTCCTCATTACAGGTTTTCTCAACTAACTAGTTTTAAAAGCTCAAAAAAAAAAAAAAAACTAACTATTCTTGACATGACTGGTAACTTAATTATTTATTCAATAAATTGTCAATTTTAGTTCGAATAATTTAACAATTTACTTAGTAAACTTACTACTCATTTTTATTTGATTACTTCGGTAATTTTTCAAAACACAATCCTAAAAAAAATTTAAACCCATTTCTTAACAAAAAGTCCTAAATTTGATCATTTTGATAGATTACTCTAGCGTCAGTGTATCCTAATATGACAAACTTGGACTCCTGAAAACGAAAAGATAACAAGATTCCCGTGACTGGGCTGGCGGCCCGTTAACGGGGACAACGTGATCAGATCATGGCCATACACAGAGAATTAAAGTGGGCCCATCAGCGGCCCACTCAAGCCCATGTGAGACAACCAGAAAATTCAAATAGTACACTTGGTGGCATTCAATTGCGCGTTTGAGAACGGAAAAAGTAGCCGTTACCTTTTTCTGAACCTTACAGATTTCATTCGACAAACACTTCTTAGTTCGTTCCAAAAACCCCTGAGAATTTCACTTCCTAAAAAAGCACCCAATCTTTGAAGCTTCCAAACGGGAAATTTTCCGTCGAAATTCAGGATTTTCCGGGCTGATTGGAAATCTCTCTCGAGATTTCTCTCCCTTTTTCTTTCGAGTTTTTCGAGCACTTCATTGCCGTAAGTTTCTCATCTCTTAATTTCTTTCTCTAGGGCCTTTTTCATTTTTTGTTTCCCGTTTTGGGTTTTCTTTGTCGTCAACTCTTTCTTTTCTTGGAGTTCCGGGTGAGTTTTGTTGATTTCACATTTAAAGATTTGTAGTTTCAAGAATGTGCTTCGTATATTATTTCCTAATAAAGATGATTTTCCGGGAATCTGGGGTTTTCTTTTGTTTTGATTTTCGTGTTTGGAGCAACTTTCCTTCATTTGTTATGCCTAATTTGCAACGTAAAAAGTTACCCTTTTTGTTAGAACAAAAGAAGAAAATTATATGTACTAAAAATGTTTCCTTTTTTTCCCCCCTTTTTGGGGCTGTTTAGTGTAAGTTAAGATAAGATGATGGTTGGGACACCAGCTACGCCATTGTCCAAGATACAAAGGACCCTTAGTTCTACTCCGGGAGGCCTGAGAGTTCGCGGCGAGAAAATATTAGTCACCGTTCGTGTGAGGCCATTAAGCAGAAGAGAGCAAGCATTGTATGATCTCATAGCTTGGGAATGCGTGGATGAACATTCCATTTTCTTCAACAGTCCGAATCAAGAACGAGCTCCGACTTCATACACATTCGGTACATCTTTTACTTATATACATGACCATGACAAGAAAAACCCTTGTGATGTTTAAAGTTGTTGAAATATTCCAACCCCACATGACTTTGGGAAAATTTTACTTTTATAGTGATTATTTTTGTATTTTATGAATGCTTGTGTTTGGTGTATTCGTAAGACTCTTTGGTTATGTTTAATGGGTGACAGATAAGGTTTTCGGTCCAAGTTGTGCAAATCAGAAGGTTTATGAAGAAGGCGCCAAGGATGTCGCCTTATCTACACTTAGGGGAATGAATGGTAACATTATGTTTACCAGGTTTAACTTTGATAAAGACGGTTTTGGGCCAAATTCAAGTTTTTCAACACTTTTCCTTTTCTGCAGCTACAATTTTCGCATATGGGCAGACTAGTAGTGGTAAGACATATACCATGAGAGGAATTGCAGAAAATGCTATTAAGGACATATATGACCATATAAGGAATGTAAGTCCTAATTATCTCTCTCCAGTTCCTATCATTTTGGTGTGCCAAATTTTAGTACATTATTGATGATTTTAAGCTGATGACTATGAATCAGTTGAGATTATGTAATATGTTATAACTTGGGGGTTCATTCTACATCACAGACCCCTGAGAGAGATTTTATCTTGAAACTTTCCGCTTTGGAGATCTACAATGAGACTGTTGTTGACCTTTTGAATCGCGAATCTGGTTCCCTGCGGCTTCTGGATGATCCTGAGGTACTTAGAATAAATTCATCTACTGAAGGAGCTTTAGATGGAACCTTCGGCATTTTTGTTTTTTACATTTCTTTTCGAAATGCAGAGAGGGACAATTGTGGAAAAACTAGTTGAAGAAGTTGTAAAGGATGGCGAACATCTAAGGCACTTAATCAGCATATGTGAAGGTAATAAATATAGTTCACTATGCATTTCAAGCCAAGAGTTTCCAAGTTTCCTAACCAACGACTGAATCTTCCTTCCCAAGCAATCATAGTTAACTCTTTTATTAACCTTTGGAAGCCATTATGGGAGAATTTGCTGATCTAGAAAGTTTATTGTCTATTGTACTACCAATTATATAAACGAATCTTCCTTCAATAAGAAACTTTTGTTCATATTTAATGCTTTTTGTCACATAATCACAAGAGGGTGTTGTCTTTTCAGCTCAAAGGCAAGTGGGAGAAACTTCTCTAAATGATAAAAGCTCAAGATCCCATCAAATAATCAGGCTGGTATGCTTAACTTATGAACCCTTTTACCCATCAAAGAAGATGAATATGCCAATATGGATTGAGCTTTCTATTCCAATATGGATTGAATTTGTGAACCTAGGCAGTGTTTTGGCAATAGCTTGTTCTAACTCATTCATGTGCTTCTCATAAAACAATGATAAAGGACTAAAAATAAAAATTCTGCTCCATGTTATAGATTTGAAGAATGGATAATCCATCACGCTCAAACATATTTGGTCAATTATTGCATGTCTATTTGTATGTCCAACGCTAATGAACAAGTTTCACTTTATTGAATTCAGACCATAGAGAGCAGTCTTCGGGAAAGTTCAGGGTGTGTGAAGTCCTTTGTAGCCAGCTTGGTAAGCTTATGTGTTCTTTCTCTACTCAGCGCTTTCTCTTATAGAAACAACAGTATATTTTGCTTAATCAAAGTTTCCAAACCTTGCAGAATCTTGTAGACCTGGCTGGTAGTGAACGTGCGTCCCAAACAAACGCAGATGGTACACGATTAAAAGAAGGTAGTCATATCAACCGTAGTTTGTTGACGCTTACAACAGTGATTAGGAAGCTAAGGTGAGCAAATGCAAAATGCCAATACTTCATCCATATGTAAAAGCAAAAGACTAGTTATGTTTTTGTTCCAAACCTAGAGAGAGAGAGAGAGAGAGAGAGAAGTGATAGATGATTGAGTCATTAATGGAGACCACAGTTGAATGGCTATACCTTCTACTAAATTTCATTTCCAGCATGCGGAATATGAAAATTAGTACTTAATGCTAAAATACTACTATGTTTTGACACTAGTTTATTCGTGAGCAATTAAGTTTAAAGAGCAATGTGATTCTGTCTCTTATGAGGTTTTCCTTTGCAGTGGTGGAAAAAGAAGTGGCCATATACCTTACAGAGATTCGAAACTCACTCGAATATTGCAGTCCTCACTCGGGGGGAATGCTCGGACCGCAATTATATGCACCATGAGCCCAGCTTTAAGCCATGTGGAGCAGACAAGGAATACACTTTCATTTGCAACTAGTGCAAAGGAAGTTACTAACAATGCCCAAGTAAACATGGTATGATTAGTAGTAGCAAAGTATAATCTCATACATTTCATTTATCAGAAGGAAAACCGATGGGCTTCGTGACTTATAAAAACTTCTGTTGCAGGTTGTTTCAGACAAGAGATTAGTGAAGCATTTGAAGAAGGAAGTGGCCCGACTTGAAGCAGAGCTGCGAAGTCCAGAGCCTTCTTCATTTTCATGCTTTAAGTCTTTGATAGCAGAGAAGGACTCGAAGATTGAGCAGGTATGTTTGCTTCTGAGTAATGTACTAGTTCCTAAGTTGATGATATCAGAAGTTAGTTAGAATATAATTTTATTGTTGGTTAACCGTCTAATAGCTTAAGTTTTTGGGAGAAATGGGCAAATTAACATGGTATCAAAATATGAGGTCCTAAATTCAAATTTGTGTTATTGCACTCTCCAAAATTGTTATTATATATTGGGTATTTAGTATGTTTCGGGGTAATAATCAAATGTTGTGTTGGGCCTTCTAAATATCCAAAAACAACCCTACTTTGGAGATTGATTTTTCTACTGAAATGCATTGGTAATTTGACGCCGAATTGGATATGCTTTAAGACTGATATTTATCTTCATTTGATTTAAAAAACAAAAACAAAACAAAACAAAAAAAGAACCAAATAGGACAAGGGGTTTGCATAATTCTTAACAGAACTTCAATCTAGTTCTCTATCTCTATTAAAAAAAATCAATTTTACAGATGGAGAGAGAAATGGAAGAGCTAAAGCGCCAGAGGGACCTTGCACAATCGCAGCTTGAATCAGAGAGAAAAGCACACAAGGTTCCAAAGGTACCATAGTGATATGACAGTATTTCCTTATGCTTGAATGTCATAAGTTTACAGAAATGATAAATCAATGTGTACATTTTTATGTGTCACTTTCAGGGATTGAATCAACGTGGACCATCTTCAGACGTCGTCAGGTGTCTCTCTTTCAATGATGATAATAGCGAGTCAGTTCTCGGAAAACTCACTCCTGAACCCCAGTCAAGAACCGCGGTTCGAAGGCAGGCAATGGTCAGGAGATCAGTCACTTCTACTGATCCTTCCACTCTAGTGCACGAGATCAGAAAGCTCGAGCAGCGCCAGAGGCAGCTTGGTGAGGAAGCAAACCGCGCACTTGAAGTGCTGCACAAGGAAGTTGCTTCCCACAGACTGGGAAACCAAGAAGCTGCTGAGAACATAGCAAAGCTGCTGTCTGAGATCCAGAGCATGCAAGTGGCTAACTCCGTTTGTGAAGAAACTGTGGTAGGAGGAGGAGATCAGGCCAATCTAATCGACGAAATCAGTCGGTTCAAATGTCAAGGAAGCACCATTGAGTCTTTAGAGAGAAAGCTTGAGAATGTTCAGAAATCCATAGACCAGCTGGTTTCATCTTTCGCCACTCATGAGGAGACTCCTTCCGAGTGCAAGACCACCCCACCAAGGAAGAAGAAAATCCTTCCTTTCAACTTGAGCAATAATGCAAATATGCAAAACATAATTAGGCCTCCATGTTCACCTTTGTCCTCTTCTTGTAAAGTTAGGGAGAATGAGAGAGAGAACAAGGCGCCCGAAAATGATGACGTGCCTAATGGTGGTGGAACGGTGCCATGGCAGTGTAGAGTTACTCCATTGAAGAGTGATGAAAGTGGTACTTGTGTGTCGTCAAGAGATGGCACTCCAATTGCTAGGAAGTCGAACTCGGTTAATGTGAAGAAGATGCAGAGAATGTTCAAGAATGCTGCTGATGAGAACATAAGAAGCATTAGAGCTTATGTAACTGAGTTGAAAGAACGAGTGGCAAAGCTGCAATACCAAAAGCAACTTCTTGTTTGCCAGGTAAAAAAAATGGCCTTTCTCATCCAATAATTCTCTTATTCTCTCCCACAAAGCAATCATGATTATCATCTTGACTAATTTTTCTTTCCAACTGTGATTAATACAATATAGGTATTGCAATTGGAGGAGTCAAATGAAGCTGGAGCTGAAGTAACAGAAAGTCTTGTTCCATCTCCTGAGCCATGGGAATTGATATTTGAGGAGGAGAGGAAGGAGATCATCATGTTATGGCACTTATGCCATGTTTCAATTGTTCACCGCACGCAGTTTTACATGTTGTTCAAGGGAGATCCTGCTGATCAGATGTACCTGGAAGTCGAACTTAGACGACTAACATGGTTGGAACAACACTTGTCGGATCTTGGCAATGCCAGTCCTGCCCTTTTAGGGGATGAACCTGCAGGCTCAGTTTCAGCAAGGTATAATTTCAAGTGTCTCTCTTAGGAGCAGTGCTACGCATCCTAACTCTTATCCCAAATCATCTTTTCATTTTTTTACTGGTAGATGCAATCTCAAAATATTAATTGACATGATGATTTCGTAAACACCTATAAATAATTTCTTAAAACGCTTATAAAAATGACGCGCCCATTTTTTTAACTGAAGGCTCACATGTCATGTTACTGTAAAGCTGGGATTCCTAAAGTTATTCTTGTAGAGCCTTTGTGACTGACCCTTCAAAAACTTGCTTTAATCTAGAACAATATGTCGATAAATTGATGTTCACTTTGTGGTTGCAGCATTAGGGCCCTTAAGCAGGAAAGAGAGTACTTGGCCAAGAGGGTGAGTTCCAAATTGACTGTGGAAGAGAGAGAAATGCTTTATACCAAATGGGAAGTCCCACCAGGAGGAAAACAAAGAAGGTTACAACTGGTAAACAAGTTGTGGACTGATCCTTATAACATGCAACATGTGCAACAGAGTGCGGAGGTTGTTGCAAAGCTTGTTGGGTTCTGTGAATCAGGTGAACATGCAAGCAAAGAGATGTTTGAGCTCACCTTTGTTTGCCCTTCTGATAAGAAGTCTTGGATGGGGTGGAATTTGATCTCAAATCTTTTGAACCTGTAATATAATATAAAGTGGTTGTACCACTTTCTTTTTTTTTTCTTTTTTTTTTTCATTCTTTGAAATATAGTTCTGTAAAAGCATTTCTTTTTCTTGCAAGCTTCATTAGTAGTAAGAAAGATTTCATGTTGTGATGATATTGTAATTAATTTGCGAGTCTAATGAGTATGATTAGTTTGTGTTAGTGTTGATATTGGTTAATTCCTCCTCCATGATTTGGATACCCAATGATTCAATTGGTTCTTCGAAGGTGAGGATTTTTCCATTGTGTTCTCAGATTGCTTACAATAGTGACGTTTTATAGTAACTCTTTCACAATTATGTATACATAACACAAAATACAGATAATAATAATTTTTACCATTAACTCCTGAAGATAAACACTTAGGGGATGTTTGGTACCTAGATTCGTTCCCTGATTCGAATCATGGTTCGTGATTCGCTACAGTATTTTCTATCACACCATCTTTAAAAGACTCCTGAAGATAAATACACGTAAATCGAAAATAATTTTAATTTATGAACCAAACGTCTCCTTATTATTTACACCATCTTTAAAAGTCTAACGATGTTTATGAGATATAAAGCTTTGGCTATTTCGTTAATAAAACTTACAGGAGGATGTCACATTAGAGTTGAGATAAAATAAAATTAAAAAAAAATTAAAAAATGAAAAAATAGATTGTGCTGACAATCTACATCTATTTCTTTTTTCTTTTTTAGATTATTTATTTTTATATATTTTTTTTATTATTTTATCCTTTCACATGTGACGTTCGTGCTATATATTTTATATAGGTAAACATCTAAAAATTGTATCTTAGAATAAATAACTTATCAACACATTTGTTAAAAACCGTAAATTTAAAAACCGTTAGGATAGGTAAACATGTAAAAGTAAATACGAAATTGAGATATGTGTACATATTATTCTTCTTACAATTTGAATTACAACATAAATTTTTTTATTACAGTATTTTTTCTTATAAAAATTTAAATTTAAATTTTCTTTATAATTTCAACTCAAATCTTTAACTCAAACGTACGAAAAAAATCTACAGAATCCCTAAAAAAAAACTCAGATTATTAAAAAAATCAAAAATAAAAAGATAGAGGGCATATCAGTCATTTAACATGGTCCATCTTAAGTCTCAACCCAAAGTTAGAAATACCTAAAACCCTTTCTTCTTTGCATCAAAATTTGCAGGGGGGACTTAAAAAATCCATTTGCAGGGGGAATCGCAGTCCAATCTGAGAAACAGAGAGAACACAAACAAACAGCCTCAATACCCGATTTTTAGCCTTCATTCATCGAAGAGAAACCAAAAAATAAATTAAAAAATGGGAAGAGAGAGAGACGCCGTCGTTCCGGTCCCAAAGCAAGCGCCGCCGCAGCAGCAGGTGTCTCAGATGGTGGAGCAGCTTCTCGCCGTCAATCCCTACAATCCCGAAATCCTCTCCGAACTCGAGAACTACGTCAATGAACAGGTCTTTTTTTTATTGATTTCTACAATTTGATTTTTGGCTTTCCATTTTTGATTGGGAAAAGGGTTAATTTATGGTTGATTTCTGAGAAAAAAATTGGGTTTTTTTTTTTGCCAGGTTTCGTCGCAGACGTACAGTTTGGATGCAAATCTCTGCCTTCTTCGCCTCTATCAGGTAATGTATAGTTTTTAATCTCTTTTGTTTTGATTTTTGTTTTGTTTTTTTTGCAGTTTTGTGAATTTCAAATAATCGGAATTTTGTACTTTTTGGGTTTATTTATTTATGTATTGTTATTGGTGTAGTTTGAGCCAGAGAGAATGAGCACCCAGATTGTTGCCCGCATATTGGTCAAGGTCCCCTTTTTTAATCCCAAATTTGAAATTGATTTTTTTATTTTGTATGAATTACTTTTCTGGATATATTGCGGAAATTATGTGTTCTTGTTTATGCTTTGGTTTAGGCTCTCATGGCAATGCCGGCTCCGGACTTTAGCCTTTGTCTTTTCTTAATTCCAGAAAGAGTGGTATGATTTCTCCATTTGGCGGACATACTTGCCAATTTCTCCATGTTTATGGGTTATGTGATGTAGAGACTGTAAATTTAATTTATCGAATTCGGATGATGGTTCAAACTTTTATGACTTTCTTGATTATTTAGCTGTTCATGCTGTCATGAACTTCAAGATTATGATAAAGAATTCCATGATTCATGATTGAGCTATTCCTGGTCATTGAGAAATATTGAATTGTGTTGGTTTTCTCTCTCCCTATTTTGATTATCAGCAAATGGATGAGCAATTCAAGACACTGATTGTTCTATCACACTATTTGGAGGTATGTTTCTATTCTTCTGTTCAATGTTCATTCAATTCATATGCTTGTTGAGTGGAACTATAGTTTTTTTTTTTTTTTGGCTGCAGACCGGGAGGTTCCGTCAGTTTTGGGATGAAGCAGCCAAGAGCTGTCACATAGTTGAAGCTGTACTAGGTATGTTCAATTGCAATCATGTAATTTTCTGGTTTATTCTCCTTTTTAGTGGCTTGATTTTAGGGGATTTGTGTTCCCCTTCTACTTGCTAATATGCTATTCTCATTTAGCACCTTGGATTTTCTGTTTCTTATGTTCTTTAATAAACCTCTTTCGTTTATGAGGACTTCTGTTTAATGAACATCGTCTTTAATTATAAATACAGGCTCATGTTGTATTCGTTTATAATTATTTTATGAGAAAGTATCTGTTTATTTTCATGTTTTAGGAAGTTTAGGTACCTTGGGTTTATAGTGCAGTACGAAGGAGATATAGAAGAGGATATTCAACATAGGATTAAGGCAGGGTGGGTTAAATGGAAGAATGATACGGGAGTTTTATGTGATGGCAAGATGCCTATTAAGTTGAAAGGAAAGTTTTATAGGACTGTATTCCACCCAGCTATGTTATATGGTAGTGAATGTTGGGCCATTAAGAGACAACATATATCTAAGATGAGAGTGGCAGAATGCGTATGTTAAGATGGATGAGTGGCCATATGAGAATGAATTGCATAAGGAATGAAGTTATTCGTAGTAAAGTAGGTGTAGCACCAATAGAAAATAAGGTGCACGAAGGCCGCTTGAGGTGGTACGGGCATGTCTAACGTAGACCGCTAGAAGCACTAGTTCGTGCTTGGGAGGACATTCTTATACCTAATACTAGGAGAGGGAGGGGTAGACCAAGAATTACGTGGACCGAAGTAGTTAGAAAAGACATTCTAGATTTAGGCCTTCAGGAAAGTTTAATTTCGAACAGAGCTGCGTGAAAAAGTGAAATCCATATAGCCGACCCCAATTAAGTTGGGATTAAAGCTTCTTGTTGTTGTTGTTGTTGTTGTTTTTGTTGTTGTTGTTTACACTTCAAACATGATTGGTGGTGAACTGTTTGGTAATTTCTGCAACTCAAGTATCTATCTAGTTCAATTATGACGTGCGGCATTTTTCTGCGAGATGGACGGTCTGGAAATTTAGACTTGTCACTAGTGCAAGATATAAAGAAACCTTTTCTATTGCATTCTAATTCATTCATTTGCTGCTCTAATGGCTTATGGCTTGTGCATAATATTTCCTCTATACAAACAAGTGTTGCATTTGGCTTATTGTTGGACTTTTAGTTTGCTGTTATGATCTTGCTGTCCTGGTCATATTTCTTTCTGTATGCATGTGTGTACTTTCCTGTGCCTATAGTATGGTTCACAAATAATTAATTGCAGGTTTTGAGCAAGCAATCCAAGCCTATGCAATTCATGTCCTTTCCTTGCTGTACCAGAAGGTTCCAAGATCTGTGCTTGCTGAGGTATATTTCTATGTTCATAGCGATTTCATGTGTTAAGATGCTAGTTGAAAGGTGAATCTTCAGGTTATATATATCATGGCTGCGTAAAGTAATCTGGTCATGTAATATTATATTGATCCATCGTGTAATACTCTAGTTTTGCATATGAAATCAGAGGTCATAAAGACATAGTGCTTTTGGTATTCTCTTTGTAAAGATTGTAATGTAGGATGAAGGATGTGTTACAGGCTATCAACATTGAAGGTCTATCCCTGGACAAATTTCTTGAGCACCAGGTAGCCAATAGCGGTTGGCTTCTCGAGAAAAGTCATGGGAAGGGGCAGCTCATTGTCCTACCACGCTCGGAATTCAACCATCCCACACTGAAGAAAAATGCAGCTGATGCGATTCCTGTGGAGCATGTCACCCGCATCTTCCCCATTCTTGGCTGATCGTTTTGCTGGGATTCAGCTGCATTTTCGATTCTCAAGATCAGTTATGGTGCTATCTTTACAGTAATTTTTCTCAATGCTTCATTTTTCTGTTGTAGCTTTTTTCTCTCTTGTTTCAGTAAAACAATTCGACACATTAAATCTCATAAGAAATTTCTTGGTTCTTGATTATATCTACCAAATACTTTTCAATGCTCCTCAACCGTCATCGGCCTTTCTTTAATGTTTAGCGATCTCACAGTGGTTGTTTATCTCAATGGCAGTCTACTTGTTGGTGGGAATATGAATGAAACAAGGGATTCCCTTCGATTGATGTTTACTAAAAAGAAAGGATATTTTACACATTTGCCCTTGAATCAGTATGATTTTAGCAACTTGCTCACTAAACTTTTAATTTTGACAAGTTGCCTTCTCAACTTGTAAAATTGTTTCAATCTGCCCTCATTTTGGTGATGATTATGTTAAATTAATGTCGAAAAAGCACGTTCGACAAAAAATTTTAACATCTCAATTGTAATATAGCACAAATCTTTTAATTATTCAACTTTTAATCTCTTAAATTTAATAAAAAATTGAGCTAAAATGAGGCACATTGTAACAATTTTATAAGTTTGGGAGGTTGATTGTGAAAATAAAAAGTTTAGAGGGTAATTTGTTAAACCATAACAAGTTCGGGGGTAATTATACTAAAAACCCAAAAAGAAATAGCAAAGAATTTATATTGGATCCTAGGTCAAAATATATCTTGTAAAATTGTATCATTGTGCTGCCTTGAGCTACAACTGTGCCAACACTGCTCCAATCGATGAGAATGGTTTCAAAGAGAGGTCTATGAGCTACAACCCAAAAAGTTTGTAGAATTTATATCAGAATCATGACTTTTTACTGCAGTAAAAAAGTTAAATGTGACTATTTTTAAGAATTTTTTACGTAGTAAAACTTGAATTATAAATTTAAATAGGTTAAATAAACGGGACTAATTTCTTTATATATAACTTAATTCAAGATTTGCAGTTGGAACTCATTTCATTTAATTTTCAAAAACAAAAGTATACTGAGAAATCATAAAAAATAAAAAATAAAAATGGGTTGAAAACGTAAACTTTTTTTTTTTTTCTTTTGGGTAGAGAAAAGGTTAAAACACTGTCAAGTTCACCATGCGTGGTGCACTACTAAAGCAGTACAAAACAAAATTTACATTTTATACTATAAAAGATTCCACTTATTAGCTCTTCAAAACAAAATAAAGATAGTAAATGAACGTGTACCAAAGAAAGGTCTGTAGACTGTAAAGGTATCAGAATTTTGCTAGAAAAGGGTTGGAGTGGGTCTTTTGTGAACATGAAACTGAGAACAAACGTAAAGGTGCACGAAACTTTCAGTCATTTTCACTCTTTTTTTGCCCTCTTGTCTGCAGTCACGTGGGACACCAGTGATTTCTCCATCAATTTTTAACAAGAAAGTAATTTGGCCTCTCAAAAAACCTTCTCAGGAAAAAAAAATTAAAAAAAAAAAGGTAGGGGCAACAAAATGCAATAAATGCATTAGTTCCATGACTCGCACGCCATCCAATTTAAAATGCAAGGACGAAAGTTGGACAATAGAAAGATAAAGGGAGGCAGTACAAGTAGAAACTTGTCCTCTTTTTTCAGTATTCATGTATTGAAATAAATGAGCACTTTAAGATAAACTCCAAATGATTCCTAGTTGCATTCAATTTTTTTTTTTTTTTTTTAAATACAAAACAGCAAAAGACTTGTCAGCCAACAAATTGAGTAAACATGACCAGAAAATGACACTCAACATTTACTCGTTCATTTAGTTGATGCGTTCAGATTAATTCTAAATTCAAATTTTGTAAGAAAACTCACCGACGGAAACTTTTTCGATTCAAATTTTCCGTGAGAAAAAAAAAATCAGAATCATGAGTTCAAGTTTTAGAACCAAACAGGTACCGCATGATTCTAAAAAAAAAACAAGAAAAAAAAAAGACATTGCATGACATACTCATTTGGGCACTCTTTTAACAGCAAACTAGGCAAAGGGAAAAACCCATGGAAACTTATGATTGAATACCCTCAACATGTTAAGAAGTACACTAAAATTTAGAGGCCCTAGGTCTGTCTTTGATAGCTCAAGGCTCGGTTCTACACTGGGACTTTCCCTCCCAGACGCTAGGTCCCCATCGTTAGTAACCCCCCTGACCATAGATTAGCATGAAGCAATATAAAAGAATCATCAACCTGCAATTCTAACACCATGGAGCTCCAACAAGGACGGCGAAAAATACTTACAAGAACAAAACCTAGAGTCACCACGAACTGCGCGGACGAAGGAAGAGCTCCTAAAAGAATTCTTTTAAAAAACTTGGACTATTTACTCTTTTGTACTTTTTGTATCAGGTTCCGACTAATTTTTTTCTTTTTCATGATGAAATCAATCATGTACGTCATACATGTGAGCAAGGATGATTGCATCTAGGAATAACATCCTTTTCGAGGATGCCGGTTCCATTCCTTTTGTTTCTCTCTAGTTCCCGGTGTCGGTGGCACGCATTCGATAATTCGTTATTCGTTGATAGGCATCTCTGGGACAGATTGAATCAAATGAGAAGGGAGCGAAAATGTAGTGTGTAACTTAAGACGAAAATTGAGCCAGACTTCAATGGCAGAGTGTTTCTCCAAAGTCCACCCAGTGAACAAAGCTATCTGAATATTCCTCGAGAACATTGGAACCCCGCCCAGTACCATAGGAGAGCTCTGTTTCGGTTCGCTCTCTCTCCTGCAGATAAAAGGTAAAAGTGTGATTACAACTAGACAGTAGATTTCAAAAACTGTAAATCTCATCTCTTCAACAAGAAAACTGGAATCCTAAGGAATATTAAGGAACGCTTCTGTATGATTGTCAATAAAAATCGTCAAAAGTTTCACAAGTACAACACCGTGGTTATAAATAACAACATCAATAGATTCAAAACACAGAAATTACTGGTCAACTTAGGTACCATTACATTGAAAAAGCATCAATGAGAACTAGATCCCCTGCCCCTGGTGTATATATTGTATCCTGCTAAGAATTTTATCTACTGTAAACCAAAATCTAATTAATTTTGAGTATCAACAAACTTAAACATGCATACAAGTCATCTTGGCACGAAATCACATAGTAATTACTTTAATTATAGAAAAATGCCAGCTTAAGTGTACGATTACCAACCTTCAAGCTGGAACCACATTCGCTTGTGGATGGGGTAGAATCTCCCATTAATCCATTAACAACATTCTCAGATGATAGTCCCTCATCTGGGGAGTTTGTGAGCAACGATGACCTGTACAAACCAAATTATCTAGTTATACCCTCCAAAATTTATTCCACCCTTTTTTTCTCCTTCAAAGGAAAGAAGAACAGTGACGTACACAATTATTTTTAACCCCACTCAAAATTTAATGTAATTGAGCAAAATTTCCCATTTTAGGAGATTTCTCTTTACTCTACGTCTGCGCATCAATTGTAAAGTTGTGCCCTCTAAACTCAAGAAAGAAAACTACCTCTCATATGGTTCTTCCTCGCATGAATTTCCAGAAGAAGATAGCCAGTCCAGATCAAGAAAGTTTGAGCAGTTGTACACATTACCGTGTTCAGAAAAGTAAATATTATCACTTTCATGGCCTCGGTCCCTTTGAACATCCCCAAAAAGTTGCCTACGAGGCATTGAGGGAGTGTACCTTCAGTTTTATTAAGAGAAGAATTCATCTGGCATATCAGGGCATTCACAACTTAGATATCTATATGCAATAATAGCAAGATGGTAACAAACCTTGCATAGGTAACATCACTTTCACAGGTAGATATTTCAGGAGATGATTCACTAAGAACCTTCTTGTCTTCCGATTCATCAGGCAAAACTGAATTAGAAAATTTCTCCTGCTTTCCATTTCTAGTCAACATAGGTGAGCTGCATTCACGAAGAATGTTTCCATCCGATAAAGATCTTTTGAAAATAGACCTATGGAAAAGATAAAGAGTTACAAACAAGTTCACCACATATCTAGATAGACAGTATATAAATTTTCCAAATAGTACGCTAAGACAAAAAAAAAAAAAAAAAAGTCCACACATCCTCTCTGGTCTGTAGTCATATTATCTCTTCGAAAATAAACAAAACAAATACCAGAGATCAGACCTAGAGACGATCAGTTCCATTAGTTCCCCAAAGAAATTTTGATTTCAAAACATTGTACTTAAAGTCTCAGACTGGATAATGAGATGAAAAGTCAACAGGAAATTACATCCCGAAAAGTCAAAAGGAAAGTACATCCTCGCAGGATACTCTTTTATTTGGAAGTTGGAACCATCCATCACAATAGAAAATAGGGACCATGCTTAAACATCAAATCTTGAAAGAAACTCCTTTAGGAAACTGGGGGAAAAAAGTGTGAAGAGTATGAAAAGTAAAATATAACGAGAAATTCTATTTCATGGTGATTTATTGATTGGGAGAAGTAGACTTTGCAGGTATCTTTGGAATGTTGTACTAGCCGTCACTTGGTCACTGTGGCTAGAAAGGAATTACAGAGTATTTGAAGATACTCAGGAGGATAGTAAAGTAGTTTGGGACAAAATATTGTATTGGGTAGCCATATGGCTCTATCAAACTAATGGTTTTGCTGGGTTTTCTTTTGCAGATCTCTCAAGGGGTTGAGACATGGTTATTCAGTAATATGGTCAGTTAAGTTTAGCTCTTCTTTCTTGTTGTAGTCTGTCATTTTTGTAATTCTGTTTTTGTAGGTGGACTCCTTGTCCCCTCTTTTCCATTAATAAATTTCTTTCGTTTCTTATCAAAACAAAAATGACGAGAAATTCTATTGGAGCAGAGACCAAGAATAGGCAAACCATAAAGCAGCTTTCTAAGGATCTTCTGGAAAAGAATCGAGAAAAAACGGAAGGCATGCACAATTTTTTTGTTTGAATCTCAAGGGCTTGACTAATTAGTAAGATACCTTCCATCTTCGTCTCTATCCCTCCCAGAATCGTAATGCTGATCTGAACCCAGCTCCCAGAGTGCAGGTTTACCCTGTTGTGGTTGGAAATGCCCCAGGAATCTGCTCAAGATTTATTAACCAAAAAGATCACTTCTAATACGGGATACATGAATTAAAATCCTAGTAAATTGCATAACATATATAAATGAGCAGAAACAAATATAAAAATGCCAGTATATATCAAGACATATTGCCCTCTATAATTCTCTCATGAGTTATAACAAGAATGAGACCCAATGCAAAACTTACATATTAATAGCATCTTGCTTCTCTGCATCCATGTATGCGTTACTGTAATAGCGTTGAAGAGTTCTGAAGAACTCCTGTGACTGGGTTGCTGCTCTCCATTGACCCCTTCTCTCAGAAAATATCTATCAAAACACCAAGATCAAAAAATGTAAGAAACGGGAGTGCAGAAACAAATAAAGTATTAAGCCAATTGCATAAAGACAATTGAAACAGTAAACACATCAAAGTACATGATGCTAGATGTACCTTGTTATGAGCTGCTGATCCGCCATATTGGTGTGCTAGTGTATCGCCCATTCTCTCATAAAAACCCATCAAATCATTAGCCAAAGGAGTATCAAGATCTATTTTTGGATTGTCCATGACTCCTAGAGCATGGAGCTGGTGCCCCAATGCAGCCAACCCATATGCATACTGCGCAACATTTGTGCGATCCAGGCAGTCTATACAATTGGTTCTCAGTACCCCTCTTTGAAACATGGGTTGCTTGACAGAATGATTTCCATTTGCAATACTGCTGTCCCCACTAGCTTTTCCATCTAAGTTTTCAGCATCCTCATTATTGTCATTAGAATGTCTTTCGGACGACAACTCACCATTGTTTACATTCCTGCATCATATCCAAATATAAACATAGCAATCAGTAAGCCAACGTTGCCAAAAATTCAACACTAAGAAAAATAACATCTCATAAATTCCTACGGCATGCCATTAAACTAAGTCATTTCTTCTCTAAAATAGATTTTTAGATTATTCACACCAATGTCCCCTCAACTTTAGGGCCATTCCCACTTTGCCCCTGAACTTTAAAAACTCTCATTTTGCCCACTGAACTTTGAATTACTCCCACTAAACCCCCTCAATTAAAATTTCCATTAGAAACAAACGGCAATTTAAAAAAAAAAAGGGTTAAGTGTTGTTTTTAATGGAAATTTTAACAAAAAGGGTTAAGTGGGACTAATTCAAAGTTCAGAGGTAAAGTAGGAGTTTTTAAAGCTCCAGGGGTAAAGTGGCAATGACCCTAAGCTAAAGGGGCACCGGTGAGAATAATCCTAAATTTTTTAGGGGGAAAAACCGGGGGAAAAACCTGGATGTTGCATCATTTTTAATAGTTCCATCTAAAATGTTTCAGACAAAAACAATAGAACACGACAACAGCCTATTGAACCGAGTTTTTCTGAATTGTACAATGTCTTCTCTTCGAAAAAATCAAACTTCAATAAAATAAGGAGAAAAAAAAGGCCATCACCGCACAGTGGCACGTTTTAAGTATAATAGACTCTCAATTGTCAATATCTTAACAAAAAGAAAATCATCCAAATCAGCAAAGCAAACTTACTCAAAGGAAGGCCACTTAAGAGAGAACTCAGGCACCAAGGCTGGTGTTACTTGACAATAGAAGAAACCCGTTAGCGTCAATGCATAAGCAGCCACCTTACCAAGAAGTAGCAATGCATTTGTAGCTTTGCTGGAAGAGGAAAGAAAAGAAGGCAAGTTTTTTAGGCAAGATGAAACCCCAAATAGTGGTAATATCATAATCTTGGGAGGAAGAACACCAAAAACTATAGTAAACATACCTCCGAGAATGTTTATGCAGATCCCAGTGAAGGAATCTAAGACGGTTCTCTTCAGATAAATCTTTATTGATAACTTCAATTGCATTAGCAAACTCTGCTCGAAGTATGGACTCCCGAGGCTTCCTCTCTTGCGTCTGTTGATTGCCCAAACAAACAAAGAAACAAAAAAAGAAAAAGAGAAACATTAATCAAGAGTTTCTCGAAGGATATATGAAGCAAACCAGATTATCAAGTATCTGAGGTTTTGTATCCCGCTAAACCCTCCTCATTTATCACAATTTAATTTGGAACCAGTCTCTTATCTTCGATAACATTTAAGCAAAACAGAAGAGGAAAAGCAGAATAACAAGCTGGAAGACATAAAAAAGACAAAATTACCAGTGAATTATCCGCCAATAAAAAAATTTACCTTGATCAGATTCAAAATAATAATAGGGTTTCCATATCTTTTGACAAGATTCTCAAAGTGCAGTCTAGTGGCTTCGTAGTTCTGGTCCTTCTTTGACACTGAAAAAAACACATATCTGTAAATAAATTGGACAGTGACATGTAATTGCTATAAATTATGCAAGGACTTATGCCAGACTTACGTATGATATCTGGTTTAATATTCAAACGTGAAGTTTCTTGTGACCAGAAAAGAGGAATTGAGCCGCGGTTCTGGACGACTGAGCTTATTTGCATCGGAAGTCCATCGGGAACATCTTCAAAAACAATTTGTTCAGTCTCAACATCATTTGCTACTCTGCCCTTTTCATTCACACCTCGCTTTAGATATCTATATGACAAGAAATAAGTAATTGAAGAACATACATCAGACTCTATTTTATAGTTGGTACAGAACGAAAATCTCATGGCAAATTTGACAACTGGAATAGCATTGCTAAAACAAACTGCAGCAGCCAATTTTAAAAGAAAGTCCAGAAAATAAATAGCCATTGTTTCCTTTCCTACGCAACTATAAACATTAGTCAAGAACCACCAAGTAGAATGTAATCGTTTTTTCCTCTAGCACATCCATTCAGATCCAAAGCACAGTAGTAGTTCTTGGACGGAAATACGAATTACACTCACCTGGTACCAGCATAATGACGTGAACGTCTTGCGATAAGGGTCAGTTTGAAGTCACGTCCAGATACTGAGAGGGTAGCCTATAATTGAAGGGCATGAGAAAAATTACTCAAAAATCAGATACTGAAAGTATAGTAATTAAATGAGGTTAAGCTTTGTAATAATGTATAAAATATAGGAAGCTTAGAACGTTTCAAGAAGTTGGTACATGGATAAATCATATCCTATCCAACAAAAGAACGATCAAAGTGACGCATAAGTTGAGGAGCTACTTTCATTCCTTGAATAACTGGATATATTCCATTTCCAAAAATAAAGATCACATAAAAGGGAGAAAAAAAAAAGATATCTTCTTAGAGATGACAACCTACCCTCTTTCTTTTTTATTTGATTAATGTTTATCGGTCAAAAATGGTGGATAAATAAACATAAATGCCTGTGCAAATCTTATGTGTAGAACTATTCTTTTTCTTTTTTATTTTATGTCCAAAACTCTTCCTCGGCCAGGATTAGGTAACTCCATGGATTCGTATACTTGAAAATCAAATAACAAGAGGACAAAAGCACCAGTGAAAGCACCTGAAAGAAGAAGCAATCTTGCCACAATAGTTCTACACTAAAGGAGGAAAATTACTGAGCTTGCTTCAAAAATTTACTTTTATTGATTATTCTTATTATTCTCTAACTGCTATCTAAAGCTCACCTGTTTAAAAAATCCATATACTAACGCAACAGTCCAAACAGTATTTTGGAGATGATTCCGTATTCCACGAGTTAAGAACTCATTCCAGACAAACATAGTTTCATAAACTACATGGCCTGTTGCGTTATTGCAGATGTTCTTTTGAAGACTGCGCATAACATGATATGAGTAGCTGAAAAAGAAGTCCTTTGTAAGGTCCACCGTGCATAAGAGCTTCTTGTATCTAAGCCATCAATAAAACAGAATAAAGGATTAACAGCTATTGCCAAACAAAAAAGACTTGGGCCAAAAATAAAGTCCTAAAGAGAAATGAAATAACATGTCTGGATATGATTTCTAACAGACAGAAAGAATGTTCCTCTAGAACTTTGCTAGTTCACCTAGAAAACCAGAAGAAAGATAATAAACTAACAAAGATTGCCCTTATATATTCATATAGCAATGATTCCTCGATATGTACTGCCAACAAATATGAATCAACCATAAAATTCAAACTTCCAGACAGAGAACAAATAATTCAAAACATATAGACAAAATAACATCGGTTTAACACTTTACAATATTCTATTAATTCCATATAGGTCTAAAGAATAGGGGAAATGGAGAAGAATGAAAGTTGAGAAACATTTAATTCCCACAAAATACTGAGACAAATAGTGTAATTTTCCAACTAATATTTTGTTCCCTTGAGAAGGGCCATGGACAAGATACATTTATATATAGAATGGACTAGAGACCTGCTCTCATTCCTAGAATTTGCGATACTGGAATGCACCGAGGAATTCGGAAGAGGAATCATTTCACTCTTGGAGATGGCATATACTGTGTGCCCACATATTGCTCCAATCTGTCGTCTTTTCGTGATAAGCAGCATGTAATACGGGCCCAAAAATTTGATGAACCCTAAAACAACAAGGAAAAAGGGAATGCGTGAGTTTTCCTAATGCTCCTAATGAATGACAAATGTTCGAAAACATGAACACAAAAAACCCACATACCAACAATCCCATAACAAGTGGTGACAAACTTAAGTCCACCAGTTGACTTGTTTCCTTCATGTATCCGCCTCAACAGGTCAGAACACTCCCTTTCCGTATACGTGGTAGAATCTTCGCGAATGTTTAGCTCGGAAGGATCTTGCCGATCGATTTTCAGCACTCTCCAATATGTTCTACTCTTATCCCTTCCTATCATGTAAAATTTCTACACCAGAAAAAAACACCAAAAAAAAATGTTCTTAATCACAAAAACTTGCCAAAGTTCACTAAAATTGTAGATTAAAACAACACCCTTTATAACAATAGCATCTAATTAAAACTCAAAGAAACCACCATGGGAGATCTAATTGCTGATTTTGACCAACAACAGATTCATAATTCCACAACACGAACAACAAATGGCGAAAAATTGAATAGATCCGATTGAAACCGAGCAAAAAGCGAAAAGGAATTGTCGAAGCGAATTTTACCGATCGAGTCTCGTAGAGCCTGAATTTCTGCATGTAGGCGTGGTCGGGAGGAGGCAAGCGCTCCTCCGAGTCGTGAGAGGACGAGTGCTCGTTCTCTGAGGACGCCATGGACGATTCAGAATTCAGATCTCCCCCGAGCCTCAGGCTCAGGGACAATATCAGTACGGCATGGAGGAGATCATATACCGAAAAAAAAAAAAAAAAAAAAAAAAAAAAGTTTATTCACGGAATTCAACACCCGAGAATCCCCATACAAACACGATACAGTTCGGCTGTTTCAAATACAACATTTCCCGATCAAAACCTCTTCTTCTCCGAAGAAAAAACGAAACCTCAAGCTCAGCTCCAACTCCAAAGTTTGACCTTTCTCGTTCCAGAACCTTCTCCGCTCATCCACGGAGAATTCCTGATCCTCGCCTTTTCTTCTCCGCCCGTGATCCGAGATCGAATTTGTCGCAATACAATCACGAAATCACACTCAGCTCAGTATTTGTTTACACACACACAGTGTATATGTCTATATATATAACTATATATATATATATGTATGAATATAAATATGTGTGTGTGTGTATGTACTATATACGCAGAGAAAAAGGAGGAGGAGAGAAGGTGAGGAGTTTTTTGAAAAATGGAAGCTTTATAAGGAAGGAAAGGAGAAGATCGAGCAGAAAATTTGGGGGAGCAAAAAGAAAGGGAAATTGATGGGAGGTTCGAGAAAGAGAAAAAGGGAAGAGATTTTGGGGCTTCGGAAAAACCAGGAAGTATTGGAAAGTGAGAGAGAGATAGAAGAGAGAAGAAGAAGCTAATAATTGACGGTGTTAGAATTGTAAATTTTAATTTATTTTTTGGTGTTTTCAGTTTTTTTTTTTTTTTTTTGTGAAATACGCAGATAGATAGATACAGAGAGAGAAAGGTAAGGTTAGGGAAGAAGGCCAAACTCCAAAGTAAAGAAGCAAAGCTCTTCTTTCTTTATTTTTCTTCTCTCCAGATCCAGATGGAAAGAGATGATCAAAACCACAACTTCGGTGACCGCTCCATCCACACATTATTTAATGAAAATATTTATTTATTTATTTTTAATATAGTGTGTGTAAAAAATAATGAAATAATGTGACAACAACACCAACAAAAAAAAAAAGTGCTAATTATTGATGTATTGTTGTTGTTGTGTGAAATAAAGATAGAGACCTTGTGTTAATTTTTTTTAATTTTTTTTATTATTTTGATTTCTTGAAATTTTCTTAGCTGACTTTTGGCTGCTTATTAATTCATTTCCAGCCGACATAAATACCAATCCAAAATTTTACCATATTGAAAATTCGCAGATCTTGTCATTTGAGTTTCCTTATAAAAAAAAAATGCTTTTTTTTTTAATGAAATTATTGTGTAAAAAGCCTATGCTTAAGGTTGAAGCTAGACGATTTTATATACATCTTACAGAAACTCTTTTCTTATTTCAAGTTTGGAATTTTTTCTTAATAATGAGAGCTCAAGTGGATATTGTTTTCAGCGAAATTGGCAGAAGCAAAAAATTACTGAGAGATTTTGCTAAAAAAAAAAATATAGGACCATTTTCCTAATAGTGGAAAACAAGTTAGCCCAACAAAAGTTTCCAATTTGCAACAAATTGGTTATCCCAATTTTACATTTATGAAATATCATTATTATAACAATATATATTCGTTATCAGAGCAGTTAAAAAATGGCGGGTGAAGCAGGTAATTGTAGATTTAAGGAGGGCATGACCAGTGGCGCTGCCACTGTGGTTAGTGTAATATCTATTAGCTTTGGATTCTTTTGAAAAAAAAAAAAGAAAAAAGAAAAAAGAAAAGTAAAGTCCTACCAACACAATTGGACATTAGAAATGAAGAATAATGTTAAGGATCCAATTTTTTTCCCCTTTTTCTACTAACTTGTATGATGTGATTAAGATATGTATAAATTAAGCATAAATTTTTCTACAAAAGTCTATGTCCTAATATTAACTCTATAAAAGTAGTATTTCTCTAATTTACCCACTTATATAAAATGTAAATCGCGTTTTTTAACCAGTAACGTCAAAACTTCTCACACTATTAAAAAGAATAAAAAAAAGGTTTATTTCAATTAATTTTAACAAATTAAATTCTACATTGCTTGATGTCGATTTGGTAATTATATTAATTTAGTAAATAATAACACGTTTAAAGTGTTAAACATAAGATATGGTGATGTGCCGTGCAGTCCACCAAAACTCAAAAAGAACTCACAAAATCTTGGGTTCACAATTCTCACAGTTGCACCCACGATTAGCTGTCGTTTTTGGTACGTGACACCCTCCCAATAATTGATCGCTGTTTACATCCGGGTCGTTTGGGATTTACACGTGCTAGGGAGTCCAACCCCGTACAGCTAAAACAAAAGCCCACAAATAAGAGCAAAACCTAGATGGGAAATTTACAAGTTTGTCACTTTTGTAATCTCCAAATCAAAAAGTGACCTTTCCAACTTTCCCAATATGGACAAGAAAAATGGGCAATCTAACTCCTGGTGCCACACAATACAATTGTGCCAACGAAAAAATATATATATTTGATTTGTCACATGCTAAGTTTGAAGCAAACATGTGAAATTGATTTAAGATAAAGCTAAATTCATTAGCAAAAGGGTTAAACTTAGTGAATGTTTGGTTTATAGATTCAGAATTATGATTCAGAACTATTCTTGTTTTACGTGTATTTTTTATGAGAGAAAAACACTGTAAAAAATCGTGAATCGTGATTCAAAATTATAGACGAATATAAGAAACAAACATCCCCTTAGTCTCCGAATCGCACGCTAAATCTCATTTGATCTATTAAATTATTCCAAATTAGTCTTTTTACTCATCCGGTTGTTACAATCTCAACAACAACAAAAAAAGTTCAATTTCTTTTGTAGTAATTATGCCTAAACATAAAAAATTACAGAATTAACTCTCATTAAACCGCATGCTGAACAACACACCTTTTTTTTAATAAGATTTTAACATTCGAATAGACTGAAGGACTAATTTAGGCAATTTCATAGGTAAATGGCCCATAATAAGATATTTTAGCCGTCAAACACTAAAATTAAATTTGACTTATAGTCTGAAAACAAAAATTGTGATTACAACATAAAAACCATTTAAGTCCTTGTTTATTTAGGGGTGCTTGTGGCTGCTACAACGACCGATTTGGCATTATTGCCTCATGGCAAAGTTTTTGGTTTATACCACCATACCAATATACCAAATACCCTTATTATAAGTCCCAAATAATCATATAAATTTGACTTTACTTCACCAAAAAACCCCAATTATATGTTACAAAACAAAGACTTGCGGTTGAATTTTTTCATTTTTTTTTTCTTTAACTACTACGTATTACATCCTCGTTGCGCACGTGGGAAATGATTGTTGGTCCAAACACAATGGAAAAATCGACGAAATCAACGCAGATGATGCTGCTAGATGTATTACTTAATATTATAAGTCCCTTTTTAAACCTTGTTTTGGCTTCAAATGTACACGCATCCAAAGGAGAGTTTGCTTCCCATTTCGTGTGGGATAATATTGCTACTTTTTGCCGTTTTGACAAACCAAAACCATACGCAAAATTCTCACTTTCTGGTCTTCCTCACCATGAGAAGATTGACTAATTAAGACGACTAAAAAAAAAAATACAGCTTGTTCACAGCTCTAACTTACAGCTACAAAACAAGCCCTTTGTTGTGTTCATTATTGTTTGAAAACCACATAATTTGTGCTTTTAACAACCAAGCACATGTCTCACACCCATAACCCACATGTCGTTTGGCATAGAAAAATACATTAAGGAAACGGGCCTTGTTCACTTTGTGAATTCAAATTTTTAATTTGAGTTAAGATGTGACATTTTCTGATAGCTTTTTACTGTAGCAGAAAAAATTAGATGTAATATTTTTTTAGAGTTTTTTATTATAAAAACCTAAAACTGAAAACTCGAATCGATAAAATGAACGAGGCCTCAATTAAACCATCCAAACCAAAATCCGTCACAAGAAAGGAAACTAATCTAAGACGTGCATGCTAAGATTTTGGAAAGTGGGCTATCACTCTCTAGAATTCTTTTGTAGGGTAAGAAAAATATGAGAAATGTGTCTATTATTTTTCATACTCTACCCCAGGATCCTCAATATTCATTTTCTAATGATGGGACAATATTGAGAATACTCAATATTCAGATTCAGAATACTCAATACTCTACCACTCCACGTATCCCTAGAAAATTCTTTAATTTTCCCTCTGTTCTCTTTAATAATAGGATGTCAAAAATAATTAAATATTATGTGTGATCTAAAAACTATAACCATTATATATAAATAACTTAGTTATTTTTTATATTTTTATTTTAACTTATTATAAAAATAAAAATTACCCATAAATTTTTTACACATTAAAGGCACACATCATATCAGATATTAAAACTTAAATTATCTAAACTTTAACAAATCACTTTAAATGAGCTTCATATATATGACAGTCTGTAACACATAATTATTCAAATTAGCCTGCAATAGGGTTACAATCAATATTCACATAATTATTCTGTGTCTATATATTTTATTTTTTATACTCTTACCGCATAATACTCAATATTGAGATTGTGGGTTATGATCAACGATGTCACCGATTGTGATCTGCCGGTCAAGGAAGAGATCCTGGAGGTTGTACGGAGCTACAGACGAAGAGGGCCCACTCCATAGAGTATTTGCAAAGAGCTGGTGGATTCTTTCAGTTGGGTGCAAAGAATCCCACCACACATGATCTTGAGGGTTGTCGCATAACTGGTAGTCTTTGATGTTCTTCCTGCCTCCACAGGTGAAGATGCCTCCGTACGGTCCAGTTCCACAACAAGCATTCAATCCATCCTTGAAACCTTTTTTTTTTTTTTTTTTTTTTCACAAACGGTCAAACGTTGAATGAGTTCATCAAAGTTGTCGTAAGACAATATAATATTCTCAGATACGGTACAATGTGATCATGATTCTGAAATTCGGAGATACGGAGAATTCGAGTTTTATTATTGTAAAATTTTTTTATAAATAGTGGGTATCGTTTATTTTATAGATTTGAATTTTTAATTTTAAATATTTATAGTAAAAAAATTTTAAAAAATGTTACATTTAATTTTTTTTTGTTACAGTAAAAAGTTCTCAAAAAATGTCACATCTCAACTCAAATTAAAAACTCAAATCTGTAAAATGAACGAGATATTAATTTTTTATTACAGTAAAAAATACTCACACACATGTAAATTCGAATTAAAAATTTAAATTAACAAACTAAACATGTCCTTAATACCCATGTTTTGCAACCGGAGTCACTTGCTTGAAAACTTTTTTTTCTTTTTTCTTTTTTCTTTTTTCTTTTTTTTAGATGAACTCTTTTTTTTTTGTGAATTACATGACTTAGGACAACGTGAATATTACTAATTGGACAGATTACTATGATTCTTTTAGTAGTTCACTACATAGGAAAACACTGATCCCTTATTCAGTTTAATTTGGTCCCTTAATTAAAAATTCTGTGCACATAACTTGAAATTTTATAAATAATAATAATAATAATGATAATAGTTATATTTGCAAAATGTTTTTCTTTTTTTGAGTTGTATATGTGCAAACTGTTATGCAAATCATAACTTAAAATGATAATATATGCAAAATGTTCTCTTCCCTAATCTTAAAAACCCTTAAAAGTTAAAATTTTTGTAGGTAAATTGTTAATAATTATGTGAAATTACAAGTCATCTCTATCTGTGATTACTGAATTAAAGTTTGAAAGTTAAATCACTGGTTTTAGGTACGATCAAAACTGCCAAAAACTTAATTCAACAAGGATGTAATTATCACAATATTAACAGTTTGAGGATTAACAGGTCAAGAAAATAATAATCAAGACATCTACTACCGTTAAATTTGCAGTGTTTGATTTTAGGAAAATTCTACATCCGTAGTGCAAAAATATGCATTGATAATGAACACTATAACGAAAACTTTTAATCAGTTTTACATACTATATTTTTGTTTCTATCTAGCACATTATTCTAATTCAATCTAATATTTTTAAAAAACATGTACTACTAATTAGTATTTTTCACCACATATGCGGATTCAAAATACTATAGTTTTGGTTCAGTCTCTCAAAAAAAATAAATAAATAAAAAGGTATGCTATTAATTGTTTCTCTAACAAAATTTAACTTCTAATTCAAACCACACGGTTAAACTCTCAAACCAAATAAGAACGATTTTTCTTAACAACATCCTCCAGTTTCACATTTAAAATGTAATATTAATTATTTTTCTTAACGATATCCTCCAGTTACACATTTAAAATGTAATATTAATTAGAGAACTTACATAATGTAATATTAATATTAACATTAAAAAAATGTAATAGTAATTAGAGAACTTGTGTATGTAGATGTTAGACATACCATAGTTGGTGGGGTTATTGATTATATGGTGGAGCCAATCATATAAATTGGAGTTGCAATACTTGAAGTCTTTTAGCATGTAGTGAAGGGTTTTGAGCATTGCATCTAAGGCGTTGTTATGAGCCAATGCAAGAGCAAGAGCTTCTTCAAAACAACCCCCAGCTTCTTCATCATTGGGTTTTTTTGGTTTTGGATTCAGAGCTCTCAGCGCTGGTAAGCATCCCAGAGGAGGCAAACTCAGGAATCCAAACTTTCTTCCTCCTTTCTGGTACAGCAACTGAATGAAAAACGACACCCAAATTAACACATCAACGAGATGGTTTGACGGGACATGTATATTTTCAAAGAAAAAAAAAAGAACAATTTGTTTTACGGGAATTTTTTATTTTTTTTTAATAGAGAATTGCATCCCAACTTTATGTTCTACGGGTATTTTGCATATTTACTCATTAATATGTAGGATCCCTGAATTCCTAATTTTAGCAATAGTAATTTGCCTTTTAAATTTGTAAAATTATTACCGAAGTGTCACATTTTATCAAAATTGCTAAAATTTTATATTACAGTTTGAATTGGGACGTTGGAATTGATTTTTGTCGAATGTGCTTTTTCGTCGCCAATTTAATACCATTATCATAAAAAAGGGGTACATCGCAATGGTTTTGCTGGCAAATTACCAAAATTAGAAATTCACGAGGGCAAATTATCAAAACTCTATAAAAAAAATGGGCAAATATGTAAAAGTACCCTATATAATTCTAACACAATTTAAACAGATAATTAGGGCTTGTTTAGTTCGCTGATTCGAGTTGATATGTGACTTTATGTGATAGTTTTTTACTGTAGTAAAAAAGTTAGATGTGACTGTTTATGAGAATTTTTTACCATAACAAAACTCAAATTTTAAACTCAAATCAGTAAAATAAACGGAATTTTATATATTACCTGGACCGCGTTTGTCAAGTTTCCGATGACCATCCCAACATATTGTTCAGGGTTGTATCGTTGTTGCATCTTAGGATTTCCTAGATAACCACCCATATAGTCGTTACTTCCGATGCCAAAGAAATAAACTGCTCCTGATATCACTCTCTGCGCTTCCTCATCTCCCAACTTCTCCGCCAATGTTTTCTGCACCTCTTCAAAACTCTTCAGCTGCGTCTGAAGATCAATCACCTAAAACCCAACAGCGACCAAGGCTATGAATAATATCGTCATGCACAAAAGGCCCATCACGAATGTTGAATCTTCTTTACTAGCCATCTTGTTAATTATATAGAAAATCATTTTTCCTCTAAAGTTTGATACTTTAAGACCTCGTATATTTCACCGGTTCGAGTTTAAAATTTGAGTTTTGTTACAGTAAAAAATTCTTAAAAACAATCACATCTAATTTTTTTACTATAGTAAAAAACTCTCACATAAAGTTACATATCAACCCGAATAAAAAATTTAAATCAGCGAACTAAACGGACCATAAAACGTGAGAGTTTTGAGTTTTGGGTGACTTCTAGGTAGCAAATACCTACACTTCCCGAGTGATGTATTTATTGAATTAGAATTTTGCCACGATCAAATAAGTGGCTAATTATGAAAAAAAAAAAAAAAAGCATTTGCGACCATTAAACATATAATTGCATCTTCTACATTCTAGTGAAAAGAGTTGGTAATTAAAAAAAATGGTTTGTCATGATTTTATGTTAACTTATTATTTATGTGATTTTAAATAATTTAATATTATTATAATATTTTATTTTTTCTTTATTAATTGAATGATATTTATTTATTTTTAAATGTAGTGATATAAATAATACTTTTTTATCATCTTAAATGGTATTTTTAATTTTGTTTCTTGATAAAAAAGTTCCTTACCAAGCCATGATTGGTTTCGGAAAGGATTCCAGCACCACCGGAGGCAAAGTTGACACCCTTGGCGTAGTCAACAGACGGTTGTAAAAATGGAGGAATAATTGGCAACTTTGCATATTCCGCTGCGTCATCATAGAAATTTTAGAAAATTTTTTCTTTGAGAAAAAGAGGTAACTAATACTCTATTGGAGGAAAATCGTAAACCTCGTGACTCATAAAGCATAACAATATCAAATTAAAAAAAGGATTTGTAAATATATAAGGAAAATGCATTATGCATAATTTTTGTTGGGTACCTTGTTCAATTTTTCTTCTTAGTCGTTGAATTGTTATTATCCATCACCTCTCAATTTTAGAGTCATTTATATTTTCCACTTTAACTTTAAAAGCTTTAATTTACCCTATAAATTTTAAATTAGACTCATTTAATCCCTGATTATTAAAATTTTTATAAAAAGTACTTAAAAAAATAGAGTTCAATAATTTTTAAAGTTTACAAAATAAAATGAGAATAACTCTCGTTCATTTCATCGATTCGAGTTTTCAGTTCTAAGTTTTTACAGTAAAAAACTCTCAGAAAATGTCATATTTAATTTTTTTTATTACAGTAAAAAGCTCTCAGAAAATGTCACATCTCAACTCGAATTGAAAATTTAAATCTGTGAAGAACGAATGAAACATTAGAATCCAAATAATTATGTACATAAATACCTACCTATAAAATCCACAATAACACGACCATCAGAGAATCTACCAGTGGGTTTTGGGAAAAACCCATTCTGGCCGTACGGCTCATAATCTGCTCGATTTTCTGGTATGGTGTTTATGTAATTATTGTTGCCCGGATCAACACTAGAGTCTCCAAATATGAAGAAGGCACTGCCTGTTCTCTCCAAGGGGCTACAAAACGCACCGTATAAGCTTATTGAAATAAAAAAACTAATCATACAAACGATCGTTGAGTGATCTGTGAAAGAATTCAATATAATTGACATTTTGGAGGAGTTGGGGTGTAGTACATTTACATCTTCTCAATTTCTCCTCACAACATCTTATATAATGTCATTTTGGCGGTCGTTTTTTTATTTTTATAGTGTCTCGATGTGAATAAACGACAAAGTTTGGAGCTATTTTTAATGCTTAGGAATGCATTGTAATTATCAGCGTGGGAATGTGTCTTTTAGTGGAGATTTATAGCTTTCATCGTTTATGGCAGTTGTAAGCAAATTATCAAAATTTTACTATCAAATCACCAGGAGAACACCTTATATACTATAAAAAAAATTTAAGTGACGTTTGGTTTATGTATTCAGAATTATGATTTAGAATCATTCTCGTGTTACGTATATTTTTTGTGAGAAAAAACACTGTAGAGAATCATGAATCATGATTCAAAATCAGAGACGAATATAGAAAACAAACGACCCCTTAGTGTAATTTCAATGTGATGTAGCATTTACAAGCACAAAACGTTTACATGGACCAGAACGTAAAATATAAGTACTTTTAAAGAAAAACAAAAAGAGAAAGAAAAAAAAAAGAGACAGAAGAAAAAAGAAAAATAAAACGACCGAGAAGAGAGAAGAACATAGATTTTTTTTTTCCTTGCTGAAAAGTAGTAAAAGAGAAATATAGTATGTAAATGACATCACGATTCAAGATAATAAGAATAATTCCGGTAGATAACTAAAAACTGAGAGATAAGGAGATAAATACCTTAAAATTTATGAACTTAATTTTAATTAATATTTTTTAGTCAAATAATTATATTAATTAAAATATTTTTAATAAAAAATAAAAGATAAAAATTTAGATTCATGCATTTAAAGACAAGTTTAACAGTTTTTTATTAGTTGTAATTTACACGTCGAGGCGTGAGTTCATTGCCATGGTCATATTCTGATTTTAGAATTTTGGCATGTCAACACATAAACGAGCCTCCTTAAACGCTGCCTTTCACGTACGAGCAAATTAGAGAAATCCCTTTTAAAAATTTTTAATTCAGATACATTATTTTCTTTTAAAATTTGCTTCATTTTTAAATTAAGTTTATTTTTCATATCAAAGTACTACAAGATTAATAATTAGAATTCAAAAGTGCTATATAGCTTATTCAAGCATTACCTTCATATCAAAGTAATATAAATAGAAAATGGCTTAATTTGGTATTACTTGTCCTTCCTAAAATTAGCTTCTGCTTATAGCATAAGTTGATTTTAGTATTTGGTAAATTTAATCAAAAATGCCTTTTGAAGAATTTTTTTAAGAATCTACAGATAAAATCAGAAACAGCTTAAAGACAATTTTAGCTTTTAGATTGTGCGGAAATCAATATAGTACAATTAATAAAACTTTCATAATACCCCTAATAAAATTTAAAATTTACAATCTTCTCAATCTAAAATTCAGACTCGTAATATAATATAATATAATGTAATATAATATAATATAATATAATATAATATAATAA